ATGAATTGTTTACTACTAAGCAGCTGATATATGAGTTATGAAAAACAATAAGTATCCACCTCTGGACAATTAAATCTTCAGTTCTCCTTTAGCCATGTGAAACCACTCACCATAGTGCCACCTACATGTTTGAACACCTGCTCTACCAGCTGAGTAGTGAAATCACACACCGGCGATTCAGTGGATGATGCAGATCAAATGCAACTGTAAGACGGGTGTTTGATCGATTGTGAAGTGATCGGATCCATTTAGTAATGTGGCCATGCTTATGCTATGTTTATGTGATATTTAGCGTCTGACAATTAAAACAGAAGTGTATTACTGTCTCTCATTGTTTTGCCTATCGGACGGAAAACGTAGCTCTACTAATCGGAATTGTATTGAGTATAGGAATACGAGAACCCGCACTGTAATAAGCAGAACTCGATTGGCTCCAACCCCAACTACAGGGAACCAATGAAATTCACGGATAATTGGTGGCAGTAAGTGCCAATGATTATTGGCAGAAATATTGCATGTTTTATAGGAAGAAATAGGCCATGTTATTGAATAAAGGAGTATCATTCAAGCCCCGTAACTGTTTGCGCAGACACATCGCATGTCCTAAATCTGATGTAATGTTCGCCCGGTGTACCATTGGTCCAGCTTCCTGAACTTTGATTGAATGACATGAAGCTGTACCTGATCGTACTCGGAATGCAGTCATCACAGTTACTCATCCACGAACATAAATAAAGTCGTGAGTTATTTAATACAAAAATGTATAATGATTTGACAATATATAATAAGTAAAGGAGTGTTTGATACAGATGAAAATAACGAATGTGCGTTGGAGGATAGAGTCAAACTGCACCTATGATCACTTACATTTAATTTGCATGCAAACGAAACATGAATAATGTTTGAATACAATGGTGACTGTAACTGGGCAATGACTCCAGATTTTTATGATGGATGTCACTAGTCCTGTTGCGCCGGTATTTTTTCCAACGGTGATTGAATTCACTGATTCATCTTCATTCCGCACGTTTTGAGTCTCACGCACGGGGACAGCTAGATGAGGTGGGTATACAAGTGGACAAACTTCGGTTGGCTGAGTTCCTTCGGGAATGACCAAAAAGGAGCAGATCCCGCAAAAGTGAAAATGTTTCTCGATAATGAAATGGAACTGCTTCGACCCAGAGTATCCGTTACAAGTGATATACGCGTACCAGACAGGCGTATTTTGTTCTTTTCTTAATTGATCCAATTTTCCAATAATATTTTACTTTCTGGTAACTCGCCATGGGCATCGCAAGCACTAGTCACTTCTCGAAGAATTTTTCAGCATTTTAGACGAACAATCAGCTTGTGCGGAACAGAAAGTATTCTCAATCGGAGTGACACATATGAAAGCTTTCGAACTTTACAGAATGCGTTCTGAATATGCAGTGACCATGATGAATTGCGTGATAATGTGACACCAAGGTATTTTAAGATTGTTGATTTCGGTACGGGTTTACGATTGGTGGAGAGGGCGAGGAACCTATCTGTGATGTTTGAATGTCGTACAGCGGCCAACATCCAGAAATTTAGAGGCATTCAATGAGAGGGAACGGGATTGGGACTAAGTAACAACGTCGTTTAGCTTGCTTTGAATTTCTGAAGCTTTTTCTTGGGTGGATGCTTTGCAACCTTAGGCAACGTCATTTGCGTACGTACAGTCAATATGAATGCAGGAGTAATGGGAAATTGTTTGACATACATTAAAAAGAAAATGGAGGAAATATTGCACATTGCAGATTACCAAAAGCAACTGGGCAAGTAGATGATTGTTTGCCGTTGAGGTACGTAAACTGTCTTGTTTGTGAAATAATAGCGGATCAATCTGAGAACGTTTGGAATAACACTAATTTCTGCAATCACGTTGAGCAATACCAATCGATAAGGACTGCTTAAAGCGTTTTTGTAGTCTAAGAACATCATTCTGACGGCGTTTATTTTCTTATCCAGTGGCGAAGTTATTGAATGAACAATATTTGCAACGGTATTGAATATTGAGCGCAAAGAACGATATGCAAATTGTTGTATGTCGTCTTCGTCAGTGACAACCCACGGTAATAAGCATCTCTCTAATAATTTGAGTATGACTGAGGTGTAGGCTATGAGACAATACCTCCCAGGTTCCTTTTTTGGAACGAGAGTTATCTAGGTCTGTCTCCGAATATCTGGACTTTTTCCGCTTATCAAACAGTCATTGAATATTTTGGACAAAGGGGCTGAAAGGGTGTCCGCACATACCTTGAGTACTACTGGTGATAGTTCATCCGAGCCCGATGCTTTATTCAACTTAGTTTTCAGTAGCTGTTGGAGGACAGTGACGGGTTTGATAGTTAGCGTTGGCGTTTAGCTAACTAAGTGTGGTAGGGCATTGCACTGAGAAATTGGACTAAACTCAGAATTGAGTCTTTGAAACTCGACAGTTTCCCGCTTGTGTTTATTGCTCAGGTCACACAGGCAGTTGTTAGCTCTCCACATGCCACGACAACCATGGTTTCCCAGGACAGTGTCGATGTACAATTTTTTCAACCAAATTATTTCAGCTTTTATAGCAGCTGTGAGCCACTTGACATGATTTATTTGTCCATATTTACAGACCTGTTCTTCCCGCCTGCGTAGCTGCTTGAGTTGTGAGATCAATATCTCTGTTTTATGGATGAAGACCGTTTCGAGTGGGCAACAGGGGTAAAAATTCATTCATTCCGTAACATGCTTACAGGACACAGAAGGTTTCTGATCCGGAAACACCGAACAAACTGTGTTAGCCATCGTGGATCTTAGCTTTTCTAAGTTCTCCGATGAAGAATTTATTTGACTCGCTATCTTGAAAGGTTCGTTCGGTTGTATACACAGTGGGACACATTCCTAAAATACAAGGATCGGAACTGCTCATGAGATCGCATTTCAGAACTTCGAAATATTGCGGTTTGTTTGTAAAAACGAAATCAAGTTGTGAATTGAGTCCGGTAGGAAAATGTACCAAATTTCGAAGGTCCAGTGTGGTGAGGAACATTTCGTCATCTCTATTAAGATCGCCAACAAATATGCCTAAAGAGTCGCTAGTTCTTGATATGATAGACGCGAAGAAAATGTCAGAAAAGCTATTTATGTCAGCCACTGATATTGTGGGTGACAGGCAATAGGTTCCATGATGTATGAACCGAAACTCAGTCAAAAAACGCGGTTGATTTACCCCAGTTGTCGCTAACGTTACTTGCAACACCTTTACCTCGTTTACGGACACTTGAGGGACGGTCAACCCGAAACACGTTATTTCCATCCAGTTGCATAATTTCACCGGGGATTTCTTCGTGCAGCCACGATTCCTAGGTTTTTGTACTTCTGTTTTCGTGTGATGTCTATTACCTCCTAGACTTTTCCTAACAGAGAACAAACATTGCTTGGTAAAATGAGAGGAATTTGCATTTGACTGGTATTGCACTGTCTGAGAGCGACTTGCCAACCTGCTTGATGTTTTCTCCTTCTGCCGCATTGTATTTTGATCATCTGCTTGAACTTATTTCTCACATTGTTGAAATATTTCACAAAAGATGTGGTTCGCGCGATAACACATAAAGATTTCGTAAACGTGCTCGTATAGGATAGCACTTGGTGTGCTTGAAATTCAAAACGATGTGCTTCGATGACGAACACATCTACAAAAGGTGTAAATATGATTTTCGAGCCAAATGGCGCCGCCGAATTCATTCCAGCAGGTGACACGTGACAGAGAAAGAACCAATCACTTTATAGGATTCTCATTATACTTCAATTGCTGGATTCACTTGAAGTTACAACAGCTTCACTTGCGAGTGAAATGGTGAAGATCGACGGTTTGTAGATGTTCGTGTGTTTAACAATCCTTGATCGAAAGTCTGATATATTTATGCATGTGAGTGTTTGGAGCGCTACTGGCTCTACCACAATCCCCGAGTTTGGATCTACATTTCTCTCTCGCACATGTTTGCAACATAAGTCGCGTAGCTTCCTGTCTGGGTCGAACCGAAGAAGAAGAAGAGACAGGGGGCACACACAAGGGTGAATTAGGTCAAATAGAACAACCTCTTAATGAATGACCGTATCATGGTGAACCGCTCTTGATATTTGATCAATCGGAATACAACGTTACACTGCCGGGTTTCATAGTGTTAAGATCAACAAAGAGACCCCAGGGTGTATCTACTAATCCCCAGACACACTTAGTTCGTTTAATCAACCAAATTACTCAGGGTGCACAGTTTCTCCCGAGAAGAAGATTTGTAGCACTTAACGACATTCATATCAAGATATGAATTTGGCGCGGTTGGTCTGTTTCCTGCCAATATAAAGCATGGGTACTGATCCGCTGACTGAGTTAATGGTATCTCTCGTCAGATAATCTTTTGTTGTGATTCATTCGTCATCCGTGGAGATCTATCACCGTGGTCCCCGTTATGAAACATCCAGCTCTGATATTTTTTCAATCTCAGGTTATCCGCGTATTGGAACAAAAAGATGGGGTATCATTTTAAATTGTGGCATCAACATGTCAGGTTATTTGGTTGCCCATCAAACTTCACAACCATATATGAGATAATCAGTGTTCAGAAGAAATTTTCCAACCTCTATTTGAAGCGGATGTTGTGATCCATCTCAGCATGCGAATAATCATCGCAATTATTAAAAAGCGGACCAAGTTAAACTGCAAACATTAGATTTGTTACGCTAGAACCAATAGGAGTATTCCATTTGGTAATTAACCAATCGCGGTCTTCGGTGACCGCCCCCGTGCGTAGGCTTGAATTTCATGTTTCAAAGCCAAAATACAATGGCTTAGGGGACTGAGAGTGAGGGACTGATGGTGACTATCCCCTCGGATTCGAGTAGCGATGATTACTGTTATGAAATGATAAAACTAGATGTGAGGTGAATTTAACTGAGACACAGTTCAGAACGCGCACGATTTTACTTCTCTTTTCACAATGGTGTGTGAATGGATTGGTAACGAAGTTGCCCTCTCACGGGTCCCAGTTGACGTGAAACGCACTGTCCCACCGAATGCAGTCGAAGCAAAACCTGGACTGTATATAATCCGAGCCAATCGCGAATTTCATCTAATCCCGGGAAAATGGAATGGGACCACGCCGCATGCATTTGTGCCCCATGGGTGTGCTGCAGTCGAAGTTTCCAAATTTGAAGTATTGTGCAACACGCCTGTGTTTCCGAATCGTCCACCGTGAGTCGCACTGCATTCTGTAAATTGTTGTTATTGTTGTTGTTGTTGTTGTTGTTGCACGTATCTATTCACGGAAGTTTGATCAAAACAGAAATGTTCAGGACATTACCATCCATCCGATATCTATCCAGACCACGACCCCTCCCACTTCATGGTAATTAGTTAGGCTATCTGTCGATTGATCGAGATCTGGTGAAATCATGTATACCAAACATGCGAGAACATAACTCACTATACTTCATGTTGATGTTCGCCCCTGTACAACCGAATGCCTCTTAGAACGTAATCCTAAAGTCCCAGTTTGTCTCAACACAGCACACGTTACCAAACAGGAAAACTTTAAGGTAACGCAGACCGCTTCTGTTGAGTGGATTGAAAATTGAAATTTCTGTATTGATCAGGATCGCATACTGAGACGGGTTTTTCAGACAAATTGAATGCTTGTATGTAAGAATCAATTTTTACAATCGTATGATAGATCCGAATGCCACAGCATTCTGAAAACGATACTTATCCACGGTTTATTTACCCTGATTGAACTACCGAGTGAATTTGTTTCGAATTAAACGCCAAATCATGTGCAAGCAATCCAAACGTCATCCCAGTTACCTATTAGGTTCAATGGATGGTATAGACAAGGTTGGAAACCATAGGTTATCTTCTTAGATTGCAGGTATTAGGATCCCTGCACCGTAGACATCATTTTCCTGTAACTTCGTTAACTATACAACTGGGGATCACTAACATGATGATTCTAGTCGGATACACTATCGAGAAAATGAGAACATCGAGAGCAATATGGAGTGATCTCATCCAGCATGAGTCACAATTGTAGTGGGAATCCGTCGAACCAACTGAGGATCAAAGCAAAGACCTGATCATAAATACAGGTCCAATTGAAACTGAAGCAACGGGTTCCTGTGGAACACTTGTCGCTTCGTATAGGCAACAGCATTTATACTGAAGTAAATGTTTTTCCAAATAATAACAAACAAACCTTGGTGAATCTTTAGAGACGTGACTTTTATGATTTGTTTATACTCAGCAGATGGAATGGTTCAGAATGTAGCCGTACTCCCATTTCGTCAGTTGTGGTTGACCTAGATCATGATGAGTTAGGAGGTAACCAAAGAGAATGAAACAGTTTTTATTTACAACAAATAAACATTCATACTTGATGCATATGCAGACTAGAAGCTACGTAGATCGAAGTAGACAAGACATAAATTATTGTTCATACCTAAAGCATTAATACAAGTGGCATATATAATGAAACTCCATTCGATCATAAAGAAAACATTTTAGTGCATCACAATCTATATACCGCGTCTAATTTTAGATGGTGTGCTTTACCACTTTCGCCAAAGTAGCCTTTACAAAATAGATCGAGTGTAAACATGCTACTTATGTAATAAATAAGTAGTTCAACTGATTGTTTGAATGGTACTATGTCTAATATAAGATAAACTTTGTCAGCTTCCAAACTCTATTTACTGACTTGCATTTTTGAGTAGTATGTTTGGATCCCGCAAAAATTTAGGTGTCGGTATCTCACAACGGGCGAAATGAACAAGACTTCCTAGGAGAAGTTCCGAATGGTAACCGTAGAAAATGAGCATCTACAGTCAGACTGTTCCATTAATCATCCTGTGTACTTGTGGTGGTGATGATCACCTGTTCCAATAAGGACGTTTTGTTGTATGCAAGCCAATTTATCAACACCCTTACCGTTGTTCGTAATAAACAACTCTCCCCGCACTGGCGCTGTCTTGTGGATGCATACCAATGGTAGAAATGTTATTGATTTTTCGGTAGTTGGCACAAATCACCAATCACGGATGAAACGGAAACACTGAATCGCACAAGCACTTACACGCCAACGTAACCAAGACGCAAGGAAAAGCCCACAGAAGTAGCAGTTAGTTTATTGGAAGCAATCGAGGGGATTGAAATGTATTGGTTATGCAAGTATCCACCAGTCGTACTTTTATATTGTAGACGTCATACAGCTTCTGTCTGGACCGCACTACTTCTCATAGGTCGACACGATCGACCTGTGGTTCGTTGTCCACAAACTGGAGCGTCTAGGTGAACGGATGGTGAAATCTGGGAAGGTTGATACAGTGCAGTTGTCCAGANCCAGAAACTTCAATGCGTAGCTTCGTGGTTTACGTTCTGCCGTCTCGTCAAATGGTCACCTTTCACACTTCTTAACCTTCAGAAAATATTTTGGATTAATTCATTCAATTTGACAAGCACATGTTTCTCTGAAAGAGCTGTCTATCCAATGGTCACTCGGTGTTGTAAATAAGGTTATTGTGACGAACTTACACTTCCTGGGTACAAGTATATGAATGAACTGACAAAAGATTACCGGGTGCGCATGCCTGACGAGCGGCGAGAACCGCGAAACCGGTCGTGTGCTTCCAGGGAAATTTTGTCCAATCATTCACATACTATTTATTATCAAACATATACATATCCCATGCATTATTGCAATATTTTTCAATTCTGTGTAGTTTATTCATTTATCACATGTCAAAACCGTTATGCTGACAATTCACCCGAGTGCTTGAATGTCGAAAGTTTGGCTCTAGCTCAGTGGCTTTTGTTGTTCCGTTACTGGCATTCCACCAGCACTACAACCATCCAGTGTTTTTATTTGAAACGTCACGCTAAAGATTTCCACTGCTGACTGATTTTAATACGTTTGATCACTGCAAGCAAAGATGAAGACAGCACTATACTCCCATTTCGTCATCCCATTCAGGTATGAATGGTTACCAGGATCCCATGGTTCGGTTCCTCCTCTCGCGGTACGCGGTGGAAAATGCATATCCCAGGAACCCTTATTTATCACTCGGGCCGTAATTGAAAACGAATGGTGCACTGGCAAATTTAATCCGTCTCATGGAGCTGCTTATTTTCCGTTCAATCATGTCGAACGTCCCAGTTGAACACATACGCCGCAAACATCAGTTTTACAATGCGACCGCGCTAAACTCAACCGATTATCGTAAGCGTTTTCTCGATGAGAGTGTAACATACCGCATCGGATAACTAATCGGCCAAATCGAACCTACTCCATTCAGTATGAATTAAAACTAGCCTAAATATCAGCTCATTCCGAAATCTGTTTATTATCTGCGAAACAGACGATCCTTTGCACACTGAACATTGTTCACATGGTCGATATACTGACTTTCAAACACGCATACAATGGATTTTACTTTTGATTTGTGAGATTGCGCTTTTCAATCTAGAATATCGATCAATGGGATCATTGAAATTAAAAGTTTCTTAGTGAGTAAATTACAAAGATGATGCTTATTGAATCCCACCGGATCTGTAAACACCGGTTTCAGTTGGTAGTACAATTAAATAGTCAATTCCAACGTTCACCCAAAAGTGCTGAACAGTCAAGTGGTTCAATGCTTCATCGAGCCGTCACTTGAATGAATCGGTGATTGGGGCACAAACAACTAGAGATGGAACAGAACAGCGTTCAAAGTATCACAAACTATGAGGCTGAAGTAATGACATCTGCTGCAGTCTAACCAACTCTTTTGGAGCAGACGTTTAAATGGATATCGCTTAAAGTGACTACTACAATACTACACGGTTGATTTATGTAATATTTGATACGCGAGGATCATGTCTCCCCGTATTTGACGGCATTCAGATAAAAGAGTCCCGGAAGTTAAAGCCTTTCATCATAGGTTTTAGGTCGCAACCTTGGTCCATTTTGGTTGGCGTTCTCCCCGGGCATTCGAGTGCCCTTTGGTCGCAAATTAGCTATGGATTCCAGGCTTAAAAAGCATACTCGGTGTGTAGTCTTATGTATGCTAATAGCAAACGGGACAATAGATCTGATTCAGTTGATCCAGAAACACGCCTCAGTAATACAACTTGCTTTATGACCTTTTATGGCGCTATACCGTCATGTGTGGAACATGCTAGATCCTCTGGAACAATAACTCCCAGATACTTTTCCTTTGGAACACGCGACAATAACTGATTTCTAAGTAGGTATGAAAAGTGAGCCCTGTAGCACAACGATACAACCGTGCATTTTTCAACGTTGAATTCGATGGCATTAGTGATAGACTATCAGTAAGCTGCATCGAGCGTTTTCTTTTACGATTTAATAATATTTAGAATGTTTTGGCGTCGTCAGCAAAAAACCGTGTCTTTTCTCCAAAGACGTTTATGAATGCTAGTAGACGGAACGGACTAAGTACGGATCTTTGTTGAACTCCGTGGACAGCCTCAATTGGTCCCGATATAGAACCATTAACTGGAATCAATACGGCGGTTCGTTATTGAAGAAATTCTCCGTTCCAGTCAAGGAGCAGTCCTCGGACAACGCACCTATGGAACTATCACCGCAATATAGGGTGGTTAAAGCTGATGAAAGCTTTGAACAATTCCAATCGGATTACATCTAATTTCGACTGATTTTTTTCACTCATCTCAAGAAAGTAGCAGAATTGTTTCAAACGACCATTTTCGTCCAAACCCGTGTTCGGCCGGCAAAACAATGTTATACTTCTCGACACGCTCTATCAGAGAATCAGCCGCAATGGGTTCCATTATTTCTGACACAGCAGAAAGAGGTGAAGGTAAACAGTATTTCACAGGATCACTTCAGCAGCCGCTTTATAAGTAGGTGAAATGATACCATGTTTCCATGACTGAGGAATCACCCCGTTTTGTCAAACATCCTTTGACAAAACTGAGTAATTCTTTCAGACGCATGATTTGCCAAGGATGCCGGAGTCAGTGATTAGATGTTATCTTCCATCGGGAGATGAATTTCTTATTCTGTATTTCACTTTTCTGGTGGCATTGATATGTATACATAGGAATTTTGGATTGGAAATAAATTTGTGTGCCAGGGTTTCTTGAAATTTCCGGTTATTCTCTCGCACTAATTTCACACAAAAGTTTTTCAACGTGATATAGTTATCCCAAGTATTGGCGGTTGTACATCTTTTGAACTCTCGTCAGGAGAATGCCCTCTGTGACACTCGTTTCTTTATTCAACTGCGGATAGGTGACAATTGTGTACGTGATGTATCGATCGATCTGGTTCTTGTAGCAACACGTATGAGTTCTGTTAGAGTGTCAATGAATCCCGGGACATCAGTGAATCGAAATGCTCTTCGGGCGAGTGCACTGCAGACAAGGTTCTACAATTTTCTGTAGTTTGTGATAATGCGTGTGTCGGTTTTCAGTTATTCTTCTATGGAGGTGTAGTAAGTGTAGTCCAAAAGCAGAATTACATGGTCGCTGCGTCCCCAGTGGAGGTATTTTTTCGACAAATTCTACCAAAAGCTCCTAGCTTGTCAATACCCAGTCCAATGTTAATGGCATGTGGGCATTTCCAAATGTTTACATCATTTAAATGAACATACATATGATGTGAATCGATAAATTGTTCGAATGGTTGGTTGGAATAACTAAAGTCGCATTATGCGAACACGAATGAACATTATGGAGAGAGCGCATCACATGGTCTGCAATATACTGCCTCTTTAGCTGAGGCTGAAGATGCAGGAGAGCGATGGACTACACCGATCAGGCAACTGGTATCTTTGGACAGCTTTATTGTTCACCAAAGTGTGTCGGGAGCCCCATCGAAGAGATCAATTGTTTTACATTGAAGTTTGCTACGAAAATAAAGCAGTGCACCGCCACCTCGCGTAGGTTTATCACGTCTCAGTAAGGAAATTCCCGGTAGGTGCAACTCAGAGTCTAGCATATAGACAGTCACCCAAGTTTTGGTAGTGGCAGCAAAATCCCACCGACTAGTTTGAAAGCGCATTTGCACCTCGGGAAATTTGCCAGGAAAGCCTTGTGCGTACGTTTAAAAACAGGTTATGAAGTTTCGTTGAAGCAATCCGCCAGGGTTTGGTTTTATATTTATGCCGATCACTCTGCGGTCGGTTAGCGGTGATTGTTTTAGGAATCAGTTCTGTTTCTATCAGCTTGCAATGATGGAGGGAGCAGTGGTGTTCGGATTGAGAGAGAGGAAGGCAGCGTTTTAGCAACGTTTTCGAAACGCGGACACCGTCTCATCCCACTATTTGATAGTGGTCTGAGGCGTGATTCTACTGGTTCTCTTCTACTTTTATACCATACATGCACAACTGATATGACCACTTTCAGGGTACTTGGTGTCACTTTCATAATCCTCGGGCCATTTCCATAGTAGTTTACTGAGCTCAGAAGTCAAATGATTGAGGTGGTGAAAACAATGTGGCATCCAATCAACTACCTTAATGAACCACCATTCATTAGAGTCATTTTTGCATTCAGATTCGTCTGGATGGTCGAATTTCGGAACTCCGTGAATCAATACAACTCAATGCAAGAAGAAACTAGGCTTTTTTATCCGTCCAACTAACACGAATAGATCTAGGCTACCTGACGTTAGAGGAGGACAGCTGACGCAAGAGGCTTACGATGTTCAGGGGGTGAACTTCTGTGTTTATTTGAATATATTATGTAGTTCAGTGATCACTCTGTTTCCTCAATGAAACTGCTGTCACTTATGGTATATTAGAATAGATGACTGTCTGCGAAGTCAATACTTTTCAGTTCAGTTCAGTTCAGTTTGCATAGGACGCATATAGCTCTTGCCAATAGAGCGTCCAATTTGTTGTGTTGTTGGCGAATGGGAGTAGCTTCCAACACTGCGAATAGATGATTGCAAAAAAAGCAACAGAGTGGTGAACAAGCTCGTTTTCAGATATTCTTATTGATGCGAATAAATCTCATAAATATATATCACAACTTGGGAATAAAATTGTCATGAGAAAATAAAAGAAAATAAAATTACAGATTACTAGAAACGATTTCATCGTAAGACCGGAAATGGGGTTCACCACGATCACATGTTTGTTTGTCCACTCATCCGATCATCTAGATTACTCACGATGAGGTTTGTATGGGGGGTTGGCCAGGGAAGCTTCAGCGCTTGCACAAATTGT